TTTTTTTTTTCCAGACTAGTCTCTTCCCATCTGCTCTGCTCACCTCTCCTCCCCCAAATCTATTCTCGGTCTTTAGCAAGAGTCAGCTTTCCAAGAAACAAGCCCAGTCATGCCACCCCTTTCCTCTGTACAAAGGCTTTGCCGGTTCCCTACTGCTCTGAAGATAGAAGCCACAGTACTTAACAGACTCTCATCTCCCTGCACACTCTGGCTGCTGCAACCTCTGCCTCGCTCACACCACTCGCCTCTCACTCCCCAGTCCTGATTTGCTCTGCTCCCTCCTTCCCACCAGGGGCCTCTGCACAGGTTATTTCTTCTCTCTGTTCAGCTCTGTCCCCTGTCTCCTTCCTCTCCCCCATTGCTAAGTAATTCCAAGTTGTTTTTGCTGACGTTACATTTACTCAGGGAAACCTCCGCCTGCCTTCATCATCTCATAGGCATTCCTTTTGTTGTATGTTCTCCTGAGATCACGTACACTTCTTCAGTAAGCTCACCAGCGTGTAATCTATCATGCCTTCTGTGATGAGCTGATCAATGTCTGTGTCTCCCCTGTCCTGCAAGGTCCCAAACCACGATCATGTCTGTTTTTCATCACCTTTGTATCCCCAGTGCCTGGTGTGGTTCTCAGCTTATGAAAATGTTTGCTAAATGACTGATCCACGGTGAATTCAGAGCTGGGTCCCTAAGAATAACAAAGCCAATAGCAAGGATTTTCTTTATCACTGTTGAGGGTTACCACATTCCTAAGGCCTTGGCGAGCCTTGGGACTTGGGTGGGCAGCTATGTATTTGCCTGCCAGTGACCTTGTAGTGGCATAAATAAGGCAGCTCCATCTGCACCAGGCCACATCCCAAGAGCAGCCCTGGGGCAGGTGAGTGTCTTTCCATGGCAGGTGCACTAGGAAAGGGGATGCATCCAGTAGACGATGTTAGAAGAGGAGGAGGAACAGGGGGAAATGGACTCGTGCTGTGTTCTGCAGTTGCATTCAGAAGCGTATCAGACGGGACTCTCAGCAGACGCACGTGACGGCCTCCCTGGCATGGCTCTGAGAAATCACTTTGTACAACTGCTGGAAATGACATTTCTCAGAAATGCTGCTGTAGGCCTCTTATTATAGCGGTTGGTGCTGGAGAATGGAGTGGCAGGGAACAGGAAGTTTGTGGGGATTGGTGCGAGATTAAAAACGAACAGTGGGAAATGTGCGATGGACTGGTATACTTCTCTCTGTAATGACCAATTAGTGTGGATTTGCAAACAGCAATTGCTCAGGCTGCCTGTCTTTGTGGCCTGTGAAATGCTCATTGGTCTTCCTGATGTTTACACGGCTCATTTAATTTCCAGGCTCCCAGTCCCCATATCAACAGGCGACCAGGACTGAGGGCCTCTCTCTGCTCTGATCTCCACTCAAAACGTGTAGCTCCTGCCAATGGAGGAGGAGGAGGAGGAGAACTTACTTTTTGCACAGAGCTTTGTGGGTGGTGCGTGCTGTTGTTCCCTTCTCACGGCAACCCTGTGGGATGGAGAGAGAAGTGTGGTTACCCCTATCTCACAGATGACTTACAAATTGAAGCACAGAACTGAAGAGTATTTACCCGAGATTAGGCCACTAATAAATGCCGAGGTTAATATTTGACTTCCCCTTTCCAGATGAAATGATATGAGCTGTGGGATTGTATGATTCGGCAGACACAGACGTGATGTGGCTCTTAAGGGGAGGAGGGAGGCGTGGGCCTGGGCTGCAGATGCTGAGGAATGAAGTTACCTCTGTCAAATTGCACTTGAACTCGAAATTCCTCTTTTCAGTGACTTTGGATCTCATAGGCTGTGGGCTAACATCTGTTGCTACAGGAACATTTCCTTTGTTTCTCATCTTTGACATGGTTCTCTTGTGGGACTATCTCAGCTCTTTGGAGAGGGTCCTATTATTACCCCCATTATACATATAAGGAAACTGAGGCTTAGGGAGATCAAGTAACTCCATATCACGTAGGTGGTATGTGACAGAGCCAGGATTAAAACCCAAAACTGTCTGACTCCATAATCGTATGTTCTGTCTCTCTCTCCGTGCCTTGTTAAGCTGAGATACTGTAATTGTGTGTAGACAAGGGTCCTCTGAGCTGTCGGTGGGGTTCTTTTTCTGGCTGTTCCTGAAGAACAAATGCATTAAGCATGAACCCTCCATTTAAAGGCCTGCGGGAAGTGGAACTTCCTTCGAGGGATAAAAGTGAACCATTCTGAGGATACTGCTGAGGTGTGGAATGGCCTCGTCACTCCCATCCAAGGAGCCTGCTCTAAACTAAGCAGTCTTCCCTCTAGACAGTTGGCTCTAAATCAGCAAAACATTTCTT